AGGAAGGCAGGGGTAGGGGAAAGGGTTTTTTTTGGGCGAGGGCTTGGGGCTTCCAAAAAGCATGCATGAGCGTGTTCCCAAAATTGGGGTGAATGGAGACAATGGTAAAATTTGGGGCCTGCCCATCTGTTGGGAGTGTGGGGCCCCCGGGAATATTTTAAATAAATGATTTTAGGGAAAACCGGGTTTTTTTTATATATCCGGGCTTGGAAATCCGGAAAAAGGGGAAATACAGTGCCCGCACTCTAAAGAAGGGTTTTGGGGTATTTACGGGTTTGGGGGATAAAATTTTGATCTTTATACGTACAGCTTTTTAAAATGTTTTGTTCTGAGCACCTCTGCAAAAACAGTGAATTTTGTGGGGAGTGAGGTAAAGTTGGGGTTTTAATGAAAGAAAGTATTTTTTTTTTTGGGTCACCCTGGGCCCGGGGAGAGACGTCCGCCCTTTTTAAAATTAAAAAAAAAAACATTGCCCAATATATCATTTCCTTGATAATTTTTTTCCCCGTATTTTTAAATACAGGGGGCAAGGGGGTTGGGGGAAAAAAATTTAAGAGAAGGAAAACAGAGGAAGATTAAAAAGTTCAGAACTTTGGGGGTGAATTTGTCACAGATGGATCTAAGAAAGACCTGGGGAAACCCCAATAAGAAAAAGGGGGTTTTTTTGCCCCTGGCACCTGGGGAAAGAAAAAAAAAACATTATCCAGGATGCAAAAGAGAGGAGAGTAGTTTCCCAAAACCAATAAAGGGTACAAAAACATGGGTTTTTGGGAAGTTGCAGGGGGAAGAGGATGGAAGCATGGGGATGTCAAGACTGTAGCGTAAAATTATGCAAAAGAAAACTGAGTTTCGAGATTAGGTGCAGGTTACTAAATATTTTAAACCCAAAAGGGTGAGGGGGGGGTTTGAGGTGGGGTTTGGAAATTTAGAATGACAAAAAAGAAAACTAGGAGGGGGAAAAAATCGCAGAAGAAAGAAGGGGTATTGGGTATTTAAAAATGGCACAAAAAAGACTAGGGGGGTGAATAAAACTTTCAAAGCAAAGATGGGGGGAAATGGGGCCCCCCTAAGAAAGGTAGGAGGGAAAGGTTTTGTGCAAGGGCTTTTAGAATCCCAAACAGGCATGAAAAGCATGTTAGAAAAGTGGAGGGAAAAAGGGTTTTTTGGGCTTGACAAGCTGGAAATGTGGGGGCAACCAACAATTTTTTTGAAGAGACTAGGGGAAAACAGTTTGCCGACTTCTGGGAACGAAAGTAGTGCCAAAACTTCCCAAAGGGGGGGGGAAAATTTTCAGTAACAACTGAACTGTAGTAACCCAAAACATCTGGCAAAATTGGATAGAAAAAATTTCCGAGTGCTTTTTTTTTTTTTTACAGCTCAGCGAGATGGCCAGGGTTAATAAAAAATGAATTTTCTAGTCCAAGGAAGAAAAGGAAAGGAGGGGTGGGGGGGGGAGAGAAAATATTATAGGTTTTTAATAAGGGGTTGTGCATTTTGCAGCCCCCCACCGGGGATGTAAAGAAGGGGGGGAAAGGGGTTGACCCTCCAAGGGATGAAAGTAAACATTAACAACTGAGGAATTCCCCCCTTTTAAAAATATCTACTTACAAAATTTAAAAGTTTCAATTTACTGTTTCCCAAGTTCATTTTAGGTTCCACCATCCGCCACAGCAATTATCCATTCCCCTACAACTTTAAAAAAGAAATAAAATTAGGGAAAAAGCAGGGAAAAGTTAAAATCTTTTCTCTCTCCCTACTTAAGAGCTGGGATTATATTCATTTGTATCATTGTAATAACAATTTTCCACATGAGTTTAACAATCAAAAAAAATTCAAAAACAAACCACCATACAAACTGCCAATCCCACCAACAGTATGCACGTAAGGCATCAGTTTTTTTTCCAATCTTAATGCAAAAAACCCCCCCAAAGAGGGAGTGGGTGCCAATATTGGGAAATTGGGAGTGGGTAAAATTTAAGATTTAAGTGAAAAGTTGGGCAAATAACAAGTTTTCCCTGGAGAAGGGGAAAAATTTTAGAGGAGAAGATTTTTGGAGATGTTAAAAATGAAGGAAAAAGGAGCCTTTGAACCAATTGAAGTAATTTTTTGGTAGGGGATCTGAATGCCCAAAGTAGGAGAAACTTTTAGAGGGGGGTGTGGTAGGTAAGTTTAGGGTGCCAGGTGTAAATGATGGGAGCCCTTTGATTGAACTTTGTATAGAAAGGGGTTTAGTTATAGGTAATACATATTTTAAGAAAAAGAGGATAAGTATACAAGATATGATGTAGGGCAAAATGACAGTAGTTTGTTGGATTATGTATTGGTAGATAAAAGACTGTTGAGTAGACTTCAGGATGTACATGTTTATAGAGGGGCCACATATATCAGATCACTGTCTAGTTGTAGCTACACAGTAAAAGGTAGATGGGATACAAGGAGAATAGAAGCATCAGGGAAGAGAAAGGTGAAGGCTTATAAACACAGAGGAGGCAGTTAGGGTAAGATATAAACAGCTATTGGAGGATAGATGGGCTGAGAGCATAGGAAATGGGGTCGAAGAGGTATGGGGTAGGTTTAAAAATGTAGTGTTAGTGTTCAGCAGAAGTTTGTGGTTACAGGAAAGTGGGTGCGGGAGGGAAGAGGAGCGATTGGTGGAATGATGATGTTAAGAGAGTAGTAAGGGAGAAAAAGTTAGCATATGAGAAGTTTTTACAAAGTAGAAGTGATGCAAGGAGGGAAGAGGAAGAGTTATGGAGAAAAAGAGAGATTAAGAGTGAAGCAATGTAAAAAGAGAGCAAAAGTGAAGAGTGGGCGAGATGTTATCTACAAATTTTGTTGAAAATAAGAAAGTTTTGGAGTGAGATTAACAAGTTAAGGAAGCCTAGAGAACAAATGGATTTGTCAGTTAAAAACAGGAGAGGAGAGTTATTAAATGGAGAGTTAGAGGTACTGGGAAGATGGAGGGAATATTTTGAGTAATTGTTAAATGTTGATGAAGATAGGGAAGCTGTGATTTCGTGTATAGGGCAAGGAGGAATAACATCTTGTAGGAGTGAGGAAGAGCCAGTTGTGAGTGTGGGGGAGGTTCATGAGGCAGTAGGTAAAATGAAAGGGGGTAAGGCAGCCGGGATTGATGGAATAAAGATAGAAATGTTAAAAGCAAGAGGGGATATAGTTTTGGAGTGGTTGGTGCAATTATTTAATAAATGTATGGAACAGGGTAAGGTACCTAGGGATTGGCAGAGAGCATGCATAGTTCCTTTGTATAAAGGCAAAGGGGACAAAAGAGTAAAAATTATAGGGGGAGAAGTCTGTTGAGTATACCTGGTAAAGTGTAGAGTTATTATTGAAAGAACTAAGAGTAAGATGGAGAATAGGATAGCAGATGAACAAGGAGGCTTTAGGAAAGGTAGGGTGTGTGTGGACCAGGTGTTTACAGTGAAACATATAAGTGAACAGTATTTAGATAAGGCTAAAGAGGTCTTTGTGGCATTTATGGATTTGGAAAAGGCGTATGACAGGGTGGATAGGGGGGCAATGTGGCAGATGTTGCAGGTGTATGGTGTAGGAGGTAGGTTACTGAAAGCAGTGAAGAGTTTTTACGAGGATAATGAGGCTCAAGTTAGAGTATGTAGGAAAGAGGGAAATTATTTCCAAGTAAAAGTAGGCCTTAGACAAGGATGTGTGATATCACTGTGGTTGTTTAATATATTTATAGATGGGGTTTTAAGACAAGTAAATGTGAGGGTCTTGGCAAGAGGCGTGGAGTTAATAGATAAAGAATCACACAAAGTGGGAGTTGTCACAGTTGCTGTTTGCTGATGACACTGCTCTTGGGAGATTCTGAAGAGAAGTTGCAGAGATTGGTGGATTAATTTGGTAGGGTGTGCAAAAGAAAATTATAAGTGAATACAGACAAGAGTAAGGTTATGAGGATAAAAAGATTAGGTGATGAAAGATTGGATATCAGATTGGAGGGAGAGAGTATGGAGGAGGTGAATGTATTCAGATATTTGGGAGTGGACGTGTCAGCGGATGGGTCTATGAAAGATGAGGTGAATCATAGAATTGATGAGGGGAAAAGGGCAAGTGGTGCACTTAGGAGTCTGTAGACCAAGAACTTTGTCCTTGGAGGCAATGAGGGGAATGTATGAGAGTATAGTTTTACCAACGCTCTTATATGGGTGTGAAGCATGGGTGATGAATGTTGCAGCGAGGAGAAGGGTGGAGGCAGTGGAGATGTCATGTCTGAGGGCAATGTGTGGTGTGAATATAATGCAGAAAATTTGTAGTTTGGAAGTTAGGAGGAGGTGTGGGACTACCAAAACTTGTCCAGAGGGCTGAGGAAGGGTTGTTGAGGTGGTTCGGACATGTAGAGAGAACGGAAGAAAACAATGACCGAGTATAAATCTGTAATGGAGGGAAGGCAGGGTAGGGGTCAGCCTAGGAAGCGTTGGAGGGAGAGGTTAAAGGAGGTTTTGTGTGCAAGGGGTTGGACTTAGAGCAAGCATGCGTGAGCGTATTTAATAGGAGTGAATGGACACAGTTTTTAATACTCGACATGCTGATGGCGTGTGAGTAAAAGTAACATTTATGAATTCAGGGAAACCAGCAGGTCAGACTAGAGTCCTGGAGATGGGAAGTACAGTGTCTGCACTCTGAAAGAGGGGTGTTTATGTTGCAGTTTCATAACTAGTGTAAAGAACCCCTCTGGCAAGTGTGATGGAGTGAATGGTGATGAAAGTTTTTTCTTTTTCAGGCCACCCTGCTTTGATGGGAATCGGCTGATGTGTTAATAAAAAAAATCATAAAATCAAGTTCCACATGTACAACACAAAATCCAAATGAGAAGTGGTTTATAACGCTGTTTCATTTTAAGCATAAAAGCATTACAATAAGACAAGACAATGAGGTACAACAATAGTTGTGCCATTTTCAGACCTTTCAGGTAACAGCCATGAAAACAAACATTCAATACAACAATGAAGTACTCTACTCACAAGACTGTCCAGATGCAGAAACTGAAGACTTCATCAATCCACCTTTGTAGGCAAGTGGCAAGGTTGACTGGACAACTGTAGCATAACTTGTACTAGCCCATACAAAATTTCTCACTTCTGCACACCTGAAGATTGAACTATGCTAAACATAACTACAAAAGGGCTAGTCATTTCATTACATATTATATATAAAAATCAGACCTCTTATAGAATCATATTTCTCATAAACACGGACCAAGAGGCAAGTATTCATCAGTTAATTAACAAAAAGAAACATCCTTCCATCATCAACACTCCAGCCATCTCACTAAAATAAGGTGGCTCGTGACAAAGAATTTTCAGTCACTTATCAGTCTTGCCAGCATAAGGGTACAAACTCCACAGTTCAGATGACTGTCCAAGATACAATATCCACGCAACATAACGCTCACACATGCTTGCTGAAAGTCCAAACCCACTCGCCCACAAAACCTTTACCCCTTCCCTCCAATCTTTTCAGGGATGACGCCTACCCTATCCTTCCCCAACAGATTTACATACTCTCCAAGTCATTCTAATCTGTTCCATTTTCTCTAAATAACCAAACCACCTCAACAGCCCTCTAATACTTTTAGTAACTCCATTTCCACACTAAAAATTGTTTGCATGATACTTACACCACATTTTGCCCTTAGACATGACAACTTCACTGCTTGCAGCCTCCTTCTCCCTGTAGCATTTACAACCCATGCTTCACCCCCATTTAAGTGTCAGTACCACTGTACTCGTACATTTATCAGTCCCAAATTTAAGAAAGTTAGCTCATTTTTAGGCAATTAGTGCTATTTGAACACTATTTGGTAACCTTGCAGACACTGTACATTCCACCTCCAAGACTAAATCTGGCTAATCAGATTCCCTGAACACTTTCATAAATGTTAACTTTACACCAACAGTGAGTAAAGTTATAAAAGTCACCTGCTTCCACTATCAAACACTTAAAGCCTGCTGGATGTCCAGCCCCTAGTACTAAACATGTAGTGGCACTTGCAAAACTTTCACTTTACAAAGCCTCTTGTACACAACTTTACAATGTACATATAATTACCTGAAGTGGTCTGCTAACAGCTTCACGATGTTAGACTGGACGAATCTGAAGAAAAAAAAAATACATTGAAAAACTTAAATTATTTAGACGTATTTATCTGACTACATTTTTTATCAGAAGTAACAAGTAATCAGCAGATTTCATAACCCAATGCTCTTAAAAAGGCTTCATCATATTCCTATGCAATCTATTGTAAGTCAGAAGTAATTAAACATGTAAAGTGCTTAATAGTGGTGCATCTCCTAAGCAAATGTGTCAGTAATACCACACAGGTACAGGTTTGGAATTATATACGTATAAAGATACACAACATACCCCTCCAAACTGCCAATATCCCAAACCCCTCCTTTAGAGTGCAGGCATTGTACTTCCCATTTCCAGGACTCAAGTCCAACTATATGAAAATAACCAGTTTCCCTGAATCCATTCACTAAATATTATCCTGGTCACACTCCAACAGATGGTCAGGTCCCAAGTACCATTCGTCTCCATTCACTCCTATCTAACACGCTCGCGCACGCTTGCTGGAAGTCCAAGCCCCCTCGCCCACAAAATCTCCTTTACCCACCCTCTCCAACCCTATCGAGGACGACCCCTACCCCGCCTTCCTTCCCTTTATAGATTTAAATGCTTTCCATGTCATTCTACTTTGATCCATTCTCTCTAAATGACCAAACCACCTCAACAACCCCTCTTGTGCCCTCTGACTAATACTTTTATTAACTCCACACCTTTTCCTAATTTCCACACTTCGAATTTTCTGCATAATATTTACACCACACATTGCCCTTAGACAGGACATCTCCACTGCCTCCAACCGTCTCCTCGCTGCTGCATTTACCACCCAAGCTTAACACCCATATAAGAGTGTTGGTACTACTATACTTTCATAAATTCCCTTCTTTGCCTCCGTAGATAACGTTTTTTGACTCCACATATACCTCAACGCACCACTCGCCTTTTTTCCCCCTCATCAACTCTATGATTAACCTCATCCTTCATAAATCCATCCACCGACACGTCAACTCCCAAGTATCTGAAAACATTCACTCCTTCCATACTCCTCCCCAATTTGATATCCAATTTTTCTTTATCTAAATCATTTGATACCCTCATCACCTTACTCTTTTCTATGTTCACTTTCAACTTTCTACCTTTACACATTCCCAAACTCATCCACTAACCTTCGCAATTTTTCTTTAGAATCTCCCATAAGCACAGTATCATCAGCAAAAAGTAACTCAATTCCCATTCTGAATTTGATTCCCCATAATTTAATCCCACCCCTCTCCCCAACACCCTAGCATTTACAACCCCATCTATAAATATATTAAACAACCATGGTGACATTACACATCCCTGTCTAAGACCTACTTTTACAGGGAAATAGTCTCCCTCTCTTCTACACACCTAACCTGAACCTCACTATCCTCATAAAAACTCTTCACAGCATTTAGTAACTTACCACTTATTCCATATACTTGCAACATCTGCCACATATTCCTCTATTCACTATCACATGCCTTTTCTAAATCCATAAATGCAATAAAAACTTCCCTACCTTTATCTAAATACTGTTCACATATATGCTTCAATGTAAACACTTGATCTACATATCCCCTACCCACTCTGAAGCCTCCCTGCTCATCCGCAATCCTACATTCTGTCTAACCTCTTAACTAATTCTTTCAATTATAACCCTACCGTACACTCTTCCTGGTATACTCAGTAAACTTATTCCTCTAATTTTTACAATCTTTTTTGTCCCCTTTCCCTTTATAAAAAGGGACTATACATGCTCTCTGCCAATCCCTAGGTACCTTTCCCTCTCTTTCAAACATTCATTAAACAAAAGTACCAACCACTCGAACACTATATCCCCCCTCCCCCCCTGCTTTTAACATTTGTCATGATCCCATCAGTTCCAGCTGCTTGACCCCCTTTCATTCGACGTAATGCCTCAGGTACCTCCCGCACACTTACATTCTGCTCTTCTTCACTCCTAGAAGATGGTATACCTCCCTGACCAGTGCACGAAATTACCGCCTCCCTTTCTTCCTTAACATTTAAAAGTTCCTCAAAATATTCTCGCCAACTACCTAATACCTCCATCTCCCCATCTACTAACTCCCCTACTCTGTTTTTAACTGACAAATCCATACTTTCCCTAGGCTTTCTTAATTTAACTCCAAAAATTTTTCTTATTTTAATTAAAATTTTTTGACAGTGCCTCTCCCACTATCATCTGCTCTCCTTTTGCATTCTCTCACCACTCTCTTCACCTTTCTTTTACTCTCCATATACTCTGCTCTTCTTATAACACTTCTGCTTTGTAAAAACCTCTCATAAGCTACCTTTTTCTCTTATCACACCCTTTACTTCATCATTCCACCAATCACTCCTCTTTCCTCCTGCCCCCACCCTCCTATAACCACAAACTTCTGCCCCACATTCTAATACTGCATTTTTAAAACTATTCCAACCTTCTTCAAGCCCCCCACTACTCATCTTTGCACTATCCCACCTTCCTGCCAATAGTCGCTTATATCTCACCCGAACTTCCTCCTCCCTTAGTTTATACACATTCACCTCCCTCTTACTTGTTTTTGTTAATACTTAATACAAACTGGCTAAAATGAGGGTAGAATGTACCCAGGGAGATCAAATTCTACAGAGTAAAAGGAAATTTAAGCAATAAATCTGGTGCCCAATTTACTATCAACAGAGTATAATGTGTAACGTCACCATGGTTATTTAATATATTTATAGATGGGGTTGTAAAAGTAAATGCTAGGGTGTTCAGGAAAGGGGAAGGATTAAATTATGGGGAATTAAATACACAATGGGAATTGACAGTTGCTTTTTGCTGATGATACTGTGCTTGTCAGATTCTAAAGAAAAATTGCAAAGGTTAGTGGATGAGTTTGGGAGTGTGTGTAAAGGTAGAAAGTTGCAAGTGAACATCGAGGAGGCGGTTGGAGGCAGTGTAGATGTCCTGTCTAAGGGCAATGTGTGGTGTAAACATGCAGAAAATTTGGAGGAGTGGAGTTAATAAAAGTATTAGTCAGAGGGCTGAAGAGGGGTTGCTGAGGTGGTTTGGTCACTTAGAGAGAATGGATCAAAGTAGAATGACATGGAGAGCATATAAATCTGTAGGTGAAGGAAGGCACGGGTAGGGGTCATTCTCAAAAAGGTTGGAAGGAAGGGGTAAGGGAGGTTTTGTGGGCGAGGGGCTTGGAATTCCAGCAACCATGCATGAGCGTGTTCGACAGGAGTGAATGGAGACAAATGGTATTTGGGACCTGACGATCTGTTGGAGTGTGAGCAAGATATTTAGTGAAGTGATTCAGGGAAACCGGTTATTTTTATATAGCCGGACTTGAGTCCTGGAAATGGGAAGTACAGTGCCTGCACTCTAAAGGAGGGGTTTGGGATATTAGCGGTTTGGAGGGATACATTTTGTATCTTTATACGTACATGCTTATAAACTCTTGTGTTCTGAGCACCTCTACAAAAACAGTGATTATGTGTGAGGTGAAAGTGTTGAATGATGAAAGTATTTTCTTTTTGGGTCACCCTGCCTCGGTGGGAGACGTCCAACTTGTTAAAAAAAAAAAAAAAAAAAAAAACAGTATGCCCAATATATCATACCTTGATAATTTTTCTCCTATATTTATAAATACAGGAGCAAGGATTGGATATAAAATTGAAGTGAAGGAATACAGAGGAAGAGAATGTGTTCAGATACTTGGGAGTGAATTTGTCAGCAGATGGATCTATGAAAGACCTGGTGAACCACAATAAGAAAAAGGTGGGTTGTGAGCTGTGGCACCTGTAAAGAAAAAGAACATTATCCATGGATGCAAAAAGAGAGGATAGTAGTACCAACACCAATATGGGTACAAAGCATGGGTTGTGAATGTTGCAGCGAAGAGGATGGAAGCAGTGGAGATGTCAAGACTGTAGCGTAAATATTATGCAGAGAATCTGACGTTTCGAGATTAGGTGCAGGGTTACTAAAGTATTAACCAAAAGGCTGAGGAGGGTTTGAGGTGGTTTGGATATTTAGAGATGACAAAACAGAATGACTAGGAGGGTGAATAAATCTGCAGAAGAGAAGATGGGGGTATGGGTCACCCTAAGAAAGGTAGGAGGGAGGTTGTGTGCACAATGCACTTCAGAATCAAGCAGGCATGACAGCATGTTAGATAGTGGAGGTAAAGGGTTTTTGGGACTTGACAAGCTGGAGTGTGAGCAACTTAACATTTTGTGAAGGGATTCAGGGAAATCAGTTAGCCAGACTTCTGGTAACGGAAAGTAGTGCCTGCACTCCAAGGGGGTGGGGATATTTACAGTATCATCTGAACTGTAGTTCATACCAACACATCTGGCAAGATTGTGATAGAATAATTGCCGAGTGTTTTTTTCTTTTACAGCTCAGCGAGATAGCCAGTGTTAATAAAAAATGAATTTTCTAGTCCAAGGAAGAATTGGGAAAGGAAGGGGTGGGGGTGGGGGTGAAATATTATGGTTTTCAATAAGGGCTTGTGCATCATGCAGCCCATCACGGGTATGTGATTAGAAGGGGGAAAGGCTTGACATCCAAGGGATGAAAGTAAACATTAACAACTGAGGAATTCCCCATTTAAAAATATCTACTTACAAAATAAATGTTCAATTCACTGTGGCCGTAAGTTCATTTTAGGTACCATCTCATACTGCCACAGCAATTAGTCCATTCCCATACAACTGAAAAATGAAATAAAATTAGAACAAGCAGGAAATGTTAAAATTTTTTCTCTCTCTCCCTACTTCAGAGAGCTGGGATTATATTCATTTGTATCATTGTAATAACAAGTTTTCCATCATGAGAGTTAACAAATCAAAAATTCTAAAGCAAACCATCATACAAACTGCCAATCCCACCAACAGTATGCACGTAAGGCCATCAGTTTTATCCAATGCTTAATGCAATAAACCCCCTAATGAGGGAGTGGGTGGCCAATAATTGCAATTGTAGTGGATAAATTGAAGATTTGATGTGAATAGTGGGTCATAATAAGTGTGTATGCACCTGGAGAAGAGAGGAATGTAGAGGAGAGAGATTTTGGGAGATGTTAAGTGAATGTATAGGAGCCTTTGAACCAATTGAGAGTAATTGTGGTAGGGGATCTGAATGCTAAAGTAGGAGAAACTTTTAGAGGGGGGTGTGGTAGGTAAGTTTAGGGTGCCAGGTGTAAATGATGATGGGAGCCCTTTGATTGAACTTTGTATAGAAAGGGGTTTAGTTATAGGTAATACATATTTTAAGAAAAAGAGGATAAGTATACAAGATATGATGTAGGGCGAAATGACAGTAGTTTGTTGGATTATGTATTGGTAGATAAAAGACTGTTGAGTAGACTTCAGGATGTACATGTTTATAGAGGGGCCACAGATATACCAGATCACTTTCTAGTTGTAGCTACACAGTAAAAGGTAGATGGGATACAAGGAGAATAGAAGCATCAGGGAAGAGAGAGGTGAAGGCTTATAAACAGAGGAGGCAGTTAGGGTAAGATATAAACAGCTATTGGAGGATAGATGGGCTAATGAGAGCATAGGAAATGGGGTCGAAGAGGTATGGGGTAGGTTTAAAAATGTAGTGTTAGTGTTCAGCAGAAGTTTGTGGTTATAGGAAAGTGGGTGCGGGAGGGAAGAGGAGCGATTGGTGGAATGATGATGTTAAGAGAGTAGTAAGGGAGAAAAAGTTAGCATATGAGAAGTTTTTACAAAGTAGAAGTGATGCAAGGAGGGAAGAGGAAGAGTTATGGAGAAAAAGAGAGGTTAAGAGTGAAGCAATGTAAAAAGAGAGCAAATGAGAAGAGTGGGTGAGATGTTATCAACAAATTTTGTTGAAAATAAGAAAAAGTTTTGGAGTGAGATTAACAAGTTAAGGAAGCCTAGAGAACAAATGGATTTGTCAGTTAAAAATAGGAGAGGAGAGTTATTAACTGGAGAGTTAGAGGTACTTAGAAGATGGAGGGAATATATTGAGGAATTGTTAAATGTTGATGAAGATAGGGAAGCTGTGATTTCGTGTATAGGGCAAGGAGGAATAACATCTTGTAGGAGTGAGGAAGAGCCAGTTGTGAGTGTGGGGGAAGTTCATGAGGCAGTAGGTAAAATGAAAGGGGGTAAGGCAGCCGGGATTGATGGAATAAAGATAGAAATGTTAAAAGCAAGTGAGGATATAGTTTTGGAGTGGTTGGTGCAATTATTTAATGAATGTATGGAAGAGGGTAAGGTACCTAGGGACTGGCAGAGAGCATGCATAGTTCCTTTGTATAAAGGCAAAGGGGACAAAAGAGTAAAAATTATAGGGGGAGAAGTCTGTTGAGTATACCTGGTAAAGTGTATGGTAGAGTTATTAGTGAAAGAACTAAGAGTAAGACGGAGAATAAGATAGCAGATGAACAAGGAGGCTTTAGGAAAGGTAGGGTGTGTGGACCAGGTGTTTACAGTGAAACATAAGTGAACAGTATTTAGATAAGGCTAAAGAGGTCTTTGTGGCATTTATGGATTTGGAAAAGGCATATGACAGGGTGGATAGGGGGGCAATGTGGCAGATGTTGCAGGTGTATGGTGTAGGAGGTAGGTTACTGAAAGCAGTGAAGAGTTTTTACATGGATAGTGAGGCTCAAGTTAGAGTATGTAGGAAAGAGGGAAATTATTTCCAAGTAAAAGTAGGCCTTAGACAAGGATGTGTGATGTCACTGTGGTTGTTTAATATATTTATAGATGGGGTTGTAAGAGAAGTAAATGTGAGGGTCTTGGCAAGAGGCGTGGAGTTAAAAGATAAAGAATCACACTAAGTGGGAGTTGTCACAGTTGCTCTTTGCTGATGACACTGCTCTTGGGAGATTCTGAAGAGAAGTTGCAGAGATTGTGGATGAATTTGGTAGGGTGTGCAAACGAAAATTAAAAGTGAATACAGAAAAGAGTAAGGTTATGAGGATAACAAAAAGATTAGGTGATGAAAGATTGGATATCAGATTGGAGGGAGAGAGTATGGAGGAGGTGAATGTATTCAGATATTTGGGAGTGGACGTGTCAGCGGATGGGTCTGAAAGAGGAGGTGAATCATAGAATTGATGAGGGGAAAAAAGCGAGTGGTGCACTTAGGAGTCTGGAGACAAAGAACTTTGTCCTTGGAGGCAAAGAGGGGAATGTATGAGAGTATAGTTTTACCAACGCTCTTATATGGGTGTGAAGCATGGGTGATGAATGTTGCAGCGAGAAGGGTGGAGGCAGTGGAGATGTCATGCCTGAGGGCAATGTGTGGTGTGAATATAATGCAGAGAATTCGTAGTTTGGAAGTTAGGAGGAGGTGCGGGACTACCAAAACTTGTCCAGAGGGCTGAGGAAGGGTTGTTGAGGTGGTTCGGACATGTAGAGAGAACGGAACAAAACAATGACCGAGTATAAATCTGTAGTGTAGGGAAGGCAGGGTAGGGGTCAGCCTAGGCAGGGTTGGAGGGAGGGGTTAAAGGAGGTTTTGTGTGCAAGGGGCTTGGACTTAGAGCAAGCATGCGTGAGCGTATTTAATAGGAGTGAATGGAGACAGTTTTTAATACTCGACGTGCTGTTGGAGTGTGAGTAAGAGTAACATTTATGAATTCAGGGAAACCAGCAGGTCAGACTAGAGTCCTGGAGACGCTAAGTACAGTGTCTGCACTCTGAAAGAGGGGTATTTATGTTGCAGTTTCATAACTGTAGTGTAAAGAACCCCTCTGGCAAGTGTGATGGAGTGAATGGTGATGAAAGTTTTTTCTTTTTCAGGCCACCCTGCTTTGATGGGAATCGGCTGATGTGTTAATAAAAAAAATAATAAAATCAAGTTCCACATGTACAGCACAAAATCCAAATGAGAAGTGGTTTATAACTCTGTTTCATTTTAAGCATAAAAGCATTACAATAAGACAAGACAATGAGGTACAACAATAGTTGTGCCATTTTCAGACCTTTCAGGTAACACGGCCATGAAAACAAACATTCAATACAACAATGAAGTACTCTACTCACAAGACTGTCCAGATGCAGAAACTGAAGACTTCATCAATCCACCTTTGTAGGCAAGTGGCAAGGTTGACTGGACAACTGTAGCATAACTTGCACTAGCCCATACAAAATTTCTCACTTCTGCACACCTGAAGATTGGACTATGCTAAACATAACTACAAAAGGGCTAGTCATTTCATTACATATTATATATAAAAATCAGACCTCTTATAGAATCATGTTTCTCATAAACACGGACCAAGAGGCAAGTATTCATCAGTTAATTAACAAAGAAACATCCTTCCATCATCAACACTCCAGCCATCTCACTAAGGTAGGGTGGCCCCTGACAGAATTTTCAGTCACTTATCAGTCTTGCCAGCAGAAGGGTACAAACTCAACAGTTCAGATGACTGTCCAAGATACAATATCCACGCAACATAACGCTCACACATGTTTGCTGAAAGTCCAAACCCACTTGCGCACAAAACCTTTACCCCTTCCCTCCAATCTTTTCGGGGATGACGCCTACCCTGCTATCCTTCCCCAACAGATTTACATACTCTGCAAGTCATTCTAATCTGTTCCATTTTCTCTAAATGACCAAACCACCTCAACAGCCCTCTAATACTTTTAGTAACTCCATTTCCACACTAAAAATTGTCTGCATGATACTTACACCACACATTGCCCTTAGACATGACAACTTCACTGCTTGCAGCCTCCTTCTCCCTGTAGCATTTACAACCCATGCTTCACCCCCATTTAAGTGTCAGTACCACTGTACTCATACATTTATCAGTCCCAAATTTAAGGAAGTTAGCTCATTTTTAGGCAATTAGTGCTATTTGAACACTATTTCGTAACCTTGCAGACACTGTACATTCCACCTCCAAGACTAAATCTGGCTAATCAGATTCCCTGAACACTTTCATAAATGTTAACTTTACACCAACAGTGATTAAAGTTATAAAAGTCACCTGCTTCCACTATCAAACACTTAAAGCCTGTTGGATGTCCAGCCCCTAGTACTAAACATGTAGTGGCACTTGCAAAACTTTCACTTTACAAAGCCTCTTGTACACAACTTTACAATGTACATATAATTACCTGAAGTGGTCTGCTAACAGCTTCACGATGTTAGACTGGACGAATCTGAAGAAAAAAAAAATACATTGAAAAACTTAAATTATTTAGACGTATTTATCTGACTACATTTTTTATCAGAAGTAACAAGTAATCAGCCGATTTCATAACCCAATGCTCTTAAAAGAGGCTTCATCATATTCCTATGCAATCTATTGTAAGTCAGAAGTAATTAAACATGTAAAGTGCTTAATAGTGGTGCATCTCCTAAGCAAATGTGTCAGTAATACCACACAGGTACAGGTTTGGAATTATATATGTATAAAGATACACAACATATCCCTCCAAACTGCCAATATCCCAAATCCCTCCTTTAGAGTGCAGGCATTGTACTTCCCATTTCCAGGACTCAAGTCCGACTATATGAAAATAACCGGTTTCCCTGAATCCCTTCACTAAATATTACCCTGCTCACACTCCAACAGATCGTCAGGTCCCAAGTACCATTCGTCTCCATTCACTCCTATCTAACACGCTCGCGCACGCTTGCTGGAAGTCCAAGCCCCCTCGCCCACAAAATCTCCTTTACCCACCCTCTCCAACCCTTCCGAGGACGACCCCTACCCCGCCTTCCTTCCCTTTATCGATTTAAATGCTTTCCATGTCATTCTACTTTGTTCCATTTTCTCTAAATGACCAAACCACCTCAACAACCCCTCTTCTGCCCTCTGACTAATACTTTTATTAACTCCACACCTTTTCCTAATTTCCACACTTCGAATTTTCTGCATAATATTTACACCACACATTGCCCTTAGACATGACATCTCTACTGCCTCCAACTGTCTCCTCGCTGCTGCATTTACCACCCAAGCTTCACACCCATATAAGAGTGTTGGTACTACTATACTTTCATACATTCCCTTCTTTGCCTCCGTAGATAACGTTTTTTGACTCCACATATACCTCAACGCACCACTCGCCTTTTTTCCCCCTCATCAACTCTATGATTAACCTCATCCTTCATAAATCCATCCGCCGACACTTCAACTCCCAAGTATCTGAAAACATTCACTCCTTCCATACTCCTCCCCAATTTGATATCCAATTTTTCTTATCTAAATCATTTGATACCCTCATCACCTTACTCTTTTCTATGTTCACTTTCAACTTTCTACCTTTACACACATTCCCAAACTCATCCACTAACCTTCGCAATTTTTCTTTAGAATCTCCCATAAGCACAGTATCATCAGCAAAAAGTAACTGTCAATTCCCATTTTGAATTTGATTCCCCATAATTTAATCCCACCCCTCTCCCTAACACCCTAGCATTTACAACCCCATCTATAAATATATTAAACAACCATGGTGACATTACACATCCCTGTCTAAGACCTACTTTTACCGGGAAATAGTCTCCCTCTCTTCTACACACCCTAACCTGAACCTCACTATCCTCATAAAAACTCTTCACAGCATTTAGTAACTTACCACTTATTCCATATACTTGCAACATCTGCCACATAGCTCCTCTATCATATGCCTTTTCTAAATCCATAAATGCAATAAAAACTTCCCTACCTTTATCTAAATACTGTTCACATATGCGCTTCAATGTAAACACCTGATCTACATATCCCCTAACCACTCTGAAGCCTCCCTGCTCATCCGCAATCCTACATTCTGTCTAACCTCTTGACTAATTCTTTCAATTATAACCCCACTGTACACTCTTCCTGGTATACTCAGTAAACTTATTCCTCTAATTTTTACAATCTTTTTTGTCCCCTTTCCCTTTATAAAAGGGACTATACATGCTCTCTGCCAATCCCTGGGTACCTTCCCCCTCTTTTAAACTTTTATTAAACAAAAGTACCAACCACTAACACTATATCCCCCCCCCCCCACCTGCTTTTAGCATTTGTCATGATCCCATCAGTTCCAGCTGCTTGACCCCCTTTCATTCGACGTAATGCCTCACGTACCTCCCCCACACTTACATTCTGCTCTTCTTCACTCCTAGAAGATGGTATACCTCCCTGACCAGTGCACGAAATTACCGCCTCCCTTTCTTCCTTAACATTTAAAAGTTCCTCAAAATATTCTCGCCAACTACCTAATACCTCCATCTCCCCATCTACTAACTCCCCTACTCTGTTTTTAACTGACAAATCCATACTTTCCCTAGGCTTTCTTAATTTATTTAACTCACTCCAAAAATTTTTCTTATTTTAATTAAAATTTTTTGACAGTGCCTCTCCCACTATCATCTGCTCTCCTTTTGCATTCTCTCACCACTCTCTTCACCTTTCTTTAACTCTCCATATACTCTGCTCTTCTTATAACACTTCTGCTTTGTAAAAACCTCTCATGAGCTACCTTTTTCTCTAATCACACCCTTTACTTCATCATTCCACCAATCACTCCTCTTTCCTCCTGCCCCCACCCTCCTATAACCACAAACTTCTGCCCCACATTCTAATACTGCATTTTGAAAACTATTCCAACCTTCAAGCCCCCCACTACTCATCTTTGCACTAGCCCACCTTTCTGCCAATAGTCGCTTATATCTCACCCGAACTTCCTCCTCCCTCAGCCTTAGTTTATACACTTTCACCTCCCTCTTACTTGTTTTTGTTAATACTTAATACAAACTGGCTAAAATGAGGGTAGAATGTACCCAGGGAGATCAAATTCTATAAAGTAAAAGGAAATTTAAGCAATAAATCTGGTGCCCAATTTACTATCAACAGAGTATAATGTGTAACGTCACCATGGTTGTTTAATATATTTATAGATGGGGTTGTAAAAGTAAATGCTAGGGTGTTCAGGAAAGGGGAAGGATTAAATTATGGGGAATTAAATACACAATGGGAATTGACAGTTGCTTTTTGCTGATGATACTGTGCTCGTCAGATTCTAAAGAAAAATTGCGAAGGTTAGTGGATGAGTTTGGGAGTGTGTGTAAAGGTAGAAAGTTGCAAGCGAACATCGAGGAGGCGGTTGGAGGCAGTGTAGATGTCCTGTCTAAGGGCAATGTGTGGTGTAAACATGCAGAAAATTTGGAGAAGTGGAGTTAATAAAAGTATTAGTCAGAGGGCTGAAGAGGGGTTGCTGAGGTGGTTTGGTCATTTAAAGAGAATGGATCAAAGTAGAATGACATGGAGAGCATATAAATCTGTAGGGGAAGGAAGGCACGGGTAGGGGTTGTTCTCAAAAAGGTTGGAAGGAAGGGGTAAGGGAGGTTTTGTGGGCGAGGGGCTTGGACTTCCAGCAAGGATGTATAAGCGTGTTCGACAGGAGTGAATGGAGACGAATGGTATTTGGGACCTGACGATCTGTTGGAGTGTGAGCAAGGTAATATTTAGTGAAGTGATTCAGGGAAACCGGTTATTTTTATATAGCTGGACTTGAGTCCTAGAAACGGGAAGTACAGTGCCTGCACTCTAAAGGAGGGGTTTGGGATAATAGCGGTTTTGAGGGATACATTTTGTATCTTTATACGTACATGCTTATAAACTGTTGTGTTCTGAGCACCTCTGCAAAAACAGTGATTATGTGTGAGTGAGGTGAAAGTGTTGAATGATGAAAGTATTTTCTTTTTGGGTCACCCTGCCTCGGTGGGAGACGTCCGACTTGTTAAAAAAAAAAAGAACACAGTATGCCCAATATATCATACCTTGATAATTTTTCTCCTATATTTATAAATACAGGAGCAAGGATTGGATATAAAATTGAAGTGAAGGAATACAGAGGAAGAAAATGTGTTCAGATACTTGGGAGTGAATTTGTCGGCAGATGGATCTACGAAAGACATGGTGAACCACAATAAGAAAAAGGTGGGTTGTGAGCTGTGGCACCTATAAAGAAAAAACATTATCCATGGATGCAAAAAGAGAGGAGAGTAGTACCAACACCAATATGGGTACAAAGCATGGGTTGTGAATGTTGCAGCGAAGAGGATGGAAGCAGTGGAGATGTCAAGACTGTAGCGTAAATATTTTGCAGAGAATCTGACGTTTCGAGATTAGGTGCAGGGTTACTAAAGTATTAACCAAAAGGCTGAGGAGGGTTTGAGGTGGTTTGGATATTTAGAGATGACAAAAAAGAATGACTAGGAGGGTGAATAAATCTGCAGAAGAGAAGATGGGGGTATGGGTCACCCTAAGAAAGGTAGGAGGGAGGTTTTGTGTGCAAGGGGCTTCAGA